AAAGAAAAAATAAAAAAATCTTTATTTTCCGATCTTTTTTTGATGTATAAATAGTTTTTTTTTCCATTCTTTTTATTTATTTCATTCATTAACTTTTTTTCTTAACTTCTATTTTCTATACTTCTTTACTTATTTTCTTTCAGATGTTTCTTTTTCTTTTCTTGTGTGTGTGTGTGTGTGTGTGTGTGTGTGTGTGTGTGTGTGTGTGTGTGTGTGTGTGTGTGTGTGTGTGTGTGTGTGTGTGTGTGTGTGTGTGTGTGTGTGTGTGTGTGTGTGTGTGTGTGTGTGTGTGTGTGTGTGTGTGTGTGTGTGTGTGTGTATAAAAGCGTAGAGATTAAATTTATTTTTTTTAGTCGTTATACAAGAATAGCAAAGATTAACAAAGCTTGTAATTGTTCAACTATTGTAATAAGTTTGTAACTGTTCCTCGCTATTGTATAATTTATGCAGTTATTAAAGTTCCTCGCTATGTATAACTATATGCAGTTATTAAAGTGAAAACATATTGATTGATTAATTGATTAACAAAAATATTAAACACAAAACATAACACTTAAGGTTTTTTAAGCACGTGGAAATTAATGTTTATGTTAACAACTTAGGAATTTGCGGAATGAAATTTGAGTAGACGCAAACCGATCACCTTACAATAAAAAGCCATTATTATTTATTTATACAAATGAACTCTTTTAATTCGAACAACTATAATTTGAAAAATCGTTTAAATCAAACAAATTTTTCGGTTTTTTCAAGGCCTTTTTATATATTTAGGATCAAACTCCTATAATTCGAAACAACAAAATGGATTTCTTTTTGCAGACAATCGGTTACCTAATTGTAGAGGAGGGGAGGGGAAATCTGTTATTTTCGAAAATAAATTTCCTCGATTTAAATTAAGGTGGTTTTTTTTAGCTGAGTTGTTTTGCAGACTCTTTATTTCTGAGATAACTATTTATATCAAGAATTGTATATGTTGAAAATATTAAAGTATTGCTGTTGACTGTGGTGGTTAATGATGATAAATGGTAATTTAAGGAAGATATAAATTCAATAAGTGACCGGTTTTATAAGAAAAAAATTGCTTAAATTAGATAAACATTGTTTTGCAACAAATTTTAGAGGTCGCGAGTTCTTCAACTTTGTTCTATCCAAATAATTTAATGTTTATTTCCCATCAAAGAAATATTTGCTATTTAAGGCAAACCATTTTTTCAAATAGAGCTGCTGAAAATCGTGAAAATGCCTGCTCGGGTACCCGTTGAACAAACGGGTAGGAATCCGGTTACCCAATAAAAAAAATAACACTTTCCCTAAAAGTTGTTCTTAGTCAATAAAAACTTTTAACTCAATGATTCCACTTGTTTAGGAATGTTTTTTTTTTTTTTGGCTTTTTTTGTGAGAGTGCCTAAAGGGACTTGGTGGTGAGACAAGTTGTCTCATCAATCCATCAATTCTTGATATAAATAGTTATCTCAGAAATAAAGAGTCTGCAAAACAACTCAGCTAAAAATAACCACCTTAATTTAAATCGAGGAAATTTATTTTCGAAATTAACAGATTTCCCCTCCCCTCCTCTACAATTAGGTAACCGTCTTATTCTTGCTATTTGTATTTATATTATGATTTACCGCTTGAATAAATTTATACGGCAAAAATTAAAAAATTAAAAAGAGTGTCCATGTTCCGCAAGTCCCAATTGCGGTATAAAAATATCATCTCCACTGTTTCGGGTGCCAAAGATACTTAGCAGACAAGAAAACGTCTTTCTGATTGTTATGAAGACGCATATATGCACATGTTCTTGTATGCTAAAATACTATAAATATAATATATATTTTTAAAATACTATATATATTTAAAATACTATATATATTTAAAATACTATATATATTTTTCAACTTTCAGGTTTTAAAAGATTTTTGTCCGAGAGTTAAATTGATAAACAAGTTGGATTAATTTCTGTTTTACGTAACAGAAAACATTGTAGTAATAATAATAATCATCGAGTAATAATAAGTTTGTACCTGAATCAGAAACCTTATATTGAAACGAACACACGTTATATTGAATTTTTTCAGAGTTTCTGACGGTGATAAAGAAATCGTAACTATTAAAACTTTTAGCAACAAGGTTTTCAAGATCTTCTTTCACATACCAAATTGATAATGTTATACTGTTTATAATATAATAATTTTAATGGTTTTAATGTATAAAAATGGTTTTAATGTATAAAAATGAATGAAATGAATTTTAAACTTATGCAGCCCATAATGCATATTCAAACTTTAAACGGTTAAATTTGAATATGCAACCCGGGCAGTAATCAACGATAGCCTTACTTTCACGACGGGCTAGAGCAGTTTGTGTTCCGGACAAACTTAACATAACCGGGAATGTCTGCATCCGGAGTATAATTTGTACATTTATCTTTGTATTGTAAAAAAAGCGGGAAAATAGGTTTAGTTTTTTCTCAGAAATATTTTTGATGTTATGTTGCTAATGATTTTTTTATTTTATTTAATTATATTTATTTATTAATAGCACTTGAGCAACATTGACTTTTCATTTTTTATTTTTAAACAATTTATACTAAATTTTTTATTTAGTATTATTATTTCTTTGTTTTCAGATTCATATTCTACATCTGAGATGTCATCAGATGTCAAACAAGATGACATCTTGTTTAGGATATTTATGTTTACTATACATATCAACACGTATATCTTAAGAATTTTTTTTTAAAGCAATGTTAACTTTAAATTATATTTTAGCTCCTATTATACTGCAGCCTTTGCTTTTTTTTACCTGTTTTTTTTTTTTTTTTTTTTTTTTCAAACTTTGAGCAACCGTTTAAACTTAAGAAAACCAATTTAAAACGTTAAAAGTTTAATCTTTGGTAAATTTAACCATGTTTAACTATATGGCATATTCCTGATTGTGGAGGTTTAATTATTTTTGTTGCATGAATATTTTTTTTTTCTTTCCTAAAATGTTATTTGTAAGTTATTTTTAATGGTTTTCTTCAAAGATTAAAAAATAGTTATGCTGTGATTGCCTCACCAAAATGTAATTTTTTAATAATTGTGTCAAATAGATTTTTGAATTTCAAAAGTTCATCTAAAATAATCCTCAATTGCTTGGCATCAGTTTCAGCATGAATAACTCTTCAAATTTGAAGAGTCTAAATGGAATTGAAGTTATAATGGGCTTTACTAAAGTCTTAAATCTTAAATTTTAAGATGATATGAAAACTGTTAGTTGTGATTCACTGAAGTTATTAGTGAAACCATGATCAACACAAAGCTTATTGAATTCCCTTGATGCTTTTAATTAGCTTTTTAGTGACAAATTGCATTTAGCTGCAACAAAATCTTATATAATTATTAGACAATTTTCTGTAAAAAATCTAACAAAATAATTATTGGGCAATTGAGATTTTAATAGACTTAAATATATCACAAAAGAATACCACAGTACATTAAAAATACTGAGTTTTGAAAAAATAGGATTTTTTTATAAGGGTCTAATTGTAATTATATTATTTTGACAAAGTAACAAACAAATAATAAAGTGTAAATTATTATACAAATTCCAAATGTTCAAATCTTAATAGATTTCTTATTTCTTTAAGCATTTGAATATATATATATATATATATATATATATATATATATATATATATATATATATATATATATATATATATATATATATATATATATATATATATATATATATATATATATATATATATATATATATATATATATAGATAGATAGATAGATAGATAGATAGATAGATAGATAGATAGATAGATAGATAGATAGATAAATAGATAGATAGATAGATAGGTTTCCATATCTAGATGTATACAAATAAGAACATTTTTTTTATTACTCTTTTTTTCATTTCCTTTTTTTAATATTATTTTTTGTTTTATTAAAATGCTTTGTTATAAAAATACAATTTTTAATCTAATTTTGGTTACCTTTTTTAAATTATTATATGTTATAATTTATGTTTTTGTACATTTGTTACATTTTTTATGGTTATTATTTATGACATAAATAATGATCCTGAACATATTCAGAGTTTTAAGGCAACATTTATGCAGTTACAAACTAAACTGGACATGGGTCCAAGGGTTGGCTGATGCAATTGTTGTGGATATAGTAATAGTATAATTAAAAATGAAAATATTGCTCAAAAAATTAGAACAATTTCAACCTTTAAAAATATTAACTAATTATTTACTATTTTTTTTAATGTTTTCATAATAATAATCAATATAGTTTAAAATGCAGTGATGGTTCAAAGATGAGTACATTGACAGGTAATTGTCAAATAATGCATTGCGTTGTAGAAACTGTGGTAATTAAAGATATGGATTTTTGAAACTGTTGAGCACACATGAACTGCAAACTGCTTATGAGTGTATAGTTGTAAAAGTATAGAAACATATCATTATATAACACACACACACACACACACACACACACACACACACACACACACACACACACACACACACAGATATATATATATATATATATATATATATATATATATATATATATATATATATATATATATATATATATATATATATATATATATATATATCATGGTTTTTTTTTCAGACATTTGAACATTTAGATATTAAAAAAATTTATTACAATGGAGTATGAATTTCATATTCCCCTAACAAGAGATGATCTGTTATCAACTTCAACCGATGGGTTTTCAATAAAAAATGTTTTAGAGCCTTCTTGTCTGGATGACAAGCTTGATGGTATGAATATTAACTCTTAAGATATTCTTAAAAAAAAAAGTATAATGTATTCTTAGAAAGAAAAGTATAATGTATTCTTAAGTAATATGCATATTAAAATGTACACTGAATTTATTTTTAAGAAGCCAATTCAGATTTCAAATCAGAAGGGGTTGTTGCTATTGTGACACATTTTGATATATTTTTCAGTGTTTTAAGGTATGCTTTTAATTTGAACTGTGTGCACTAAATTATTGCAGTATTAAATTATTTATACTCTTATTTTATTATTTGTACTTAATTGTGCATCACTTAATAACAGGAAGAAAAAAAACCAAAATTTCTTTATCTGGATTAGTTTTATCTTTTTATGGAGAACATATATATCTTTGTATTTTTTCCTGTGTCCTTGTTTTCTTATCAAGTTTTTTACTTTTTTTCACAGTTAATTTATACTGAGCAATATGTCTAATTGTAAGATAATGCAAAGTGATGACACCTACTCTGGTTAAAACTTAAATAAACTTATCATATTCAAGTTTTAATATGCAGCTTTTTTTTTTAATTTTTTTTTTTGGGTGTTTCAGATGGCATTTTTAAAATATCCTATTTAAAACTTTTAAGTTTGATTTGAAAAGATTTTAATTTTTTCATAATGAATTAGATTTAAAAATTTTCCACCCCATTGAATAATGCATTTAACTTTACCATATATGTTTTTATTCCACTAACCATATATTTGCAAATTAATTTGGCACAAATAACTTGAACCAAAGTTGACTAATATTGGTTTTATTTTTGAAATAACAAGTACCCAAATAATATATTTTTTATATTAGAGGTTAAATTACAACAAGGTAGGCTTTTTTTTTTTTATAGTATTAATGGTTAATGGCTTTTTTACTTTTTTGTTTTTGGCAATAAAAGTTTTAATGTTGGCATACAAGATAATAGTTTTTAATTTTTGTAAATTTAATTAATTGTCCTTATGTTGCAGTTAATCTTTAAGAGAGTGAATCTTTAATTTTGTTAGAATTAATGATAATTTATTATCATTAATTCTAAATAATTGCTCATTATAATTTTTAATTATAATGAGCAGTTATTCATTGCTCATTATAATTTTTGTTTTGATTTTTGTTGTTATGACATTACTATTTGATTTTGTGTTATGAGTTTGTTTCTTGTTAATGTTCTTATGATTTTATTTTTTGTTGTATTTTATTTTATTTTATTTTTTTTTAGTCATATGAAGCGTCTTCAAGAAGATATTAAGCAAACTGCATGGCAGATAATTGCTTCAAGTATTTTTTTAATTGTCTTTTAAATTTAGCTTTATTTTTAATATTGCTATAATATATTTTTAAATAGTAGATTACGGCTTAGCATATCAATGCGGTAGTTGTGTATTGGTAGAGCACTTGTTTTGTAAACAAGAAGTTCTGATTTGTGTTATTTTGCGCCTAACTTGTCTCTGAGCAGCTGCATTGTTTGCCAATGCTCATGTTTTACAGTTAAAGGATTGAATGAGGGTTGTAACAATATTTTATAATAAAATTATAATTATAAGCCCTGGGAGCCCGGTGGCCCTAGAAGCTATGCAGGATTCCAGCATGGGCTTTTCACTTTTTTTATTTAAATTTGGGTTTTTTAGCACTTTTTAATCCAAGTATGGGCCTTTTAGCAATTTTTACTTTTTTTTGACATTCTGAAAAAAATCTATTTATTTTTAAAATATTTATTTCTGAAATAAAAAACAACTGAATAGCATTTTTTGGAAAAAAATGAAATACTTTTCAATTGACCTTTTGCCAGATAACAACGCCATTATAACATGCATTGCATTTTGGGATCGCCTGGGAGCAAACAAACTTATTAAATATATATTTCTATGCGAAAATCCAGCGATAATTGCATTAGCCTAGATTATTATTCTTATTTATTTGAATATGGTTTTTACTTCAGTAGATTTGTCTAAGTGGAAAGTAGATTTGTTATCAAGTGGTGTCCCGCTTGGTTTAGGAAGTGCACGAAAAGCACTTTTGATAGAAAAAGTTATTATGGCAAAATCTTTAAACCTATTATTGTTACCTACCACTGATAACCGTATAAAATAAATAACAATAAATTAAATAAGAGTAGAAGAAGGAAGTTAGTTGTTGACGATATTCTACATCTTCCATTTCCTGAAGATTTAAAAAATAACTGGCAAAGTGGAAGTCAATATCTTCCTAATGCGACTTTAGAAGTCATTAAAAAATATGCTACTAATAAGAGTGCAATGAAGGCGTTTAGAGAAGGAAAATCTTGCAATATTCTGGGCATGTTAAAGATATCACCTTTAATAACATTGTTGACAGTATTCGGTATTGTTACTTTAGAGCTACTGTTGTTCCACAGGCAAGAATAAACAAAAATCCATATTTAGTTTGGGTATGTTTTTATCATTCGGAGTATGTTTTTACTGTTAAGTGTTAGTGTATTGCAGGTTACAGTTCATCCTGTAAGCATGTCTTCAGTTTATTGCATTCTATTAAGAATAAAGTCAGGTTAGGCCATATTAAAACATGTACTGGAAAAAAATAACAATGGGATGTAGGAGTTTTTTAGACGACCACATCCTGAAAATGATGATGTTGAACCTGGTCCAAGTAAAAACTTTTATGAACCTCGTTCACGAACAGACATTGATGTCACATTTTTAGCTGAAGACTAAGAGAATATTGCTAAAGTTACGAATGGTAATGCAAGTGTTTTGCAGTTTAAAAAAATAAGTTTTTATAAAGTAGATATTGATTTTACAATTGCTACAGAATATCCTAAAACAATTGATTAAATAGTTTGTATAAGTGATATGAATTTGTTTCACTATAAATTAAAAACCTATCAAGCAAATTCTAATATTAAAAAAAATTACAGTATAACAACAGACCAGTCAAATTCTGTTAATTGGTTTTAATATAGAAATGGTGTTATTACATTATCAGTATCCCATGAGGTAATTCAGAAAGTTAGTGTTAGGCAAACAATTACAAATCCAACATCCTCTTTTAATTTATGTATAAAGATTTTTGAACAAATTGAAACTATTTCCAGTAGTGCGCTATCATGAAGACGAAGCAATGAAGAATTTGCTGTCAAAAGTTATGTTAGAAAAAACAAAATTTTACATAAAAATTTTAGTTGTGCCATAGCAGGCTTGACAATATGTTCTGAGTATCCATTTCTGGGTGCAAATCCTGATAGAATTATAAATTGTACTTGTTGTGGATTTGGTTTGTTAGTCATATGTCCTTTTTCAGCATAAAACCATTTCAGAATACCTTTCAATGTCTTCTTGTTTTATAGTAAAAAGTAATGAAAGTTTTGGAATCAAACTTATTCACCTTTATTACATCCAAGTTCAGCACCAAATGTTTGTTACAGGTGCTAATTATTGTGAATCTTGTACATTTTGTATTGCTAAGGATCCAAATTTCTTTTTAAAGTGCCTACCAAAATTAGTTACATATTTTAACGATGTTATGCTTCCATATTTATATGACATAGATTTAGTGAGAACCGCTTACACCTGCAGTAAAGTCATCCAAAACCTTGTTTTACAAGTTGAAAAGGTAGAAGAGCAAAATACAGCAGCATTAGAATTAAAACAATTAACAGATAATTACCAAATGCTACCTAACGACTCAACACCACTACAGAGAAGACTAAAGAAAATTATATAAAATCAATATATACACATAATAAAATAAAATAAAAAATCAAACATATATATATATATATATATATATATATATATATATATATATATATATATATATATATATATATACATGTATGTATGTATGTATGTATGTATACATATTAGTGCTTGCATATATCTTAGCGAGAGTGCTCGATGAATTAAAGTAAATTAAAATGATTTAAATTAAAACAGAGCTGTATTTACATATATTATTTGCAAATAAAACTGCATATTTTTCACAACTATAAGTTTCATGCTAAATGCAATCATCAGGTGTAAATATGTTTTTTTTTTCTCGTGAAAAAATAATATATCTGTACAAAAGAAAATGAGTCAAAAATCTAATTTTTTGGTTATCCAGCAAAAACTTGTTTTCATGGCGACATTTAGATATTAATTCGTTTTTTTTTTGTTTAATAATTCTTGAGGGATTATACAATAAAATAATAATTTAATAATTCTTGAGGGATTATACAATAAAATAATTCGTTTTTCGTATAAGCATAACAAGCCTATTTTGGTTATGTTGTTGTAGGCGGGGGCATATTTTATGATGGACCATTTTAAATTGGGTGTTATTTTTGTTTTATTTTGTGTATCCCATATATATTTTGAAAGCGTGGTCGCATTTGTGAGTTTTTTATTTTTGAAGGATTGCTTGTGATTCGCCTATCTATTTTTCCACATGCCCTCTGTTGAACCAATGTATGTTTTGTCGGGTGTGTTTGGGAATAATGCAATGCACTTATAAATTACATTTGTTTTTCTGCAATTTCCATTCATAGGGCAGATTTTGCATAGTTTACAATTGCAAGCTTAAGTGGCCGTTTGGTTCATCGAAATAATTTTATTGTTGTGGTTCTTTATAATTTTTGCTATGTTGCTTGTACAGCTGTAGCTGACTTTTGTTGTGTTACGGTTAAATAGTTTATGAAGCAGATTTGGTTTTAGAAAGTGTTTGTCGATTAATTGTAAGAAGGTTTTGCCTTAATTTGTGAGAATGTTTTTATTGTATGGTGGGTTAAACCAGACTATATTTCTTTTTCTTTTACGATTGGGGGTTACTTTGGTATCAATTTTAGGGTTGTATTTGAAGCTAAAATCTTTGAACCCATTTCTTTTTTGGGCTTCGTCATATTCTGCCCTTGCCGAGTTGAATATTTTTTCGTCAGAAGAATTCTGGGATAACCTATCGTTGATAGCAATCGGAATTTGTTTAGTAATTTGTGGAGGGTGGTTGGACTCAGTGTGGATGTAAAGTAGGTTGCTATTTGGTTTTTTGAAAGGATGATATAAGTCTTTTTCAAGGTTAAATGTAACGTCTAAGAAGTTAGCAATTGTTAGGTTTGTCGTAATTTTTATTTGGAAGCCGATTTTTTTAAAAAATAGGTTTTGCTTACAATGCCAAGTTCGCTCTTTGCTGGATTTATTAGGCGGCAGGGTTTTATGTTTTGAAAATTGATTTTATGGTCCTTCAGAGTGATGAACGCTCTGATTTGACGATTATTTTAGATTTGTTGGATATATTTATTGTTTTTGCTATGCTTTTTGCTTCTAGGTTTATTGCGTTTTCAAGCTTTAATTGTGCTTTTTTATATGATTTAGTGATATTTTCTTTCAGAAGTTTAGTGTGGTCTTTGGGAGGTAGTTCATAAATATTGCTAGTTTTGTCTGCAAATATCAAAATATTGGGATTTGATTTTATGTTCGATATGTCATTCTTTAGTTTTTTTTTGAATTCAATGGAAGCTTTTTTAAATTTTATTGATTTTACTAAAGCAAATAATTCGGCTTCAAAGTGCTCAAATTCTTTGCATTGCGGTGGTGTTTTGTTTGTTTTAAATCCGAAGGTTTTAGCTGTTTCTGTCGCATTGTTGTTTTTGTTGTTGTAAAAAAATGTTTTCTACGCATTCGTTTGATAAATATCTTTTCGACTATGTGTAACTTATAACTAGTTTTCTCTGTTACAGGAATATTTTTCCATTGTGTGAGATCGATGCAAAAAAGTGCTCAGCCAACTTTTTGTCAGGAGCGTTTTATATATATATATATATATATATATATATATATATATATATATATATGTATATATATATATGTTTTATATATATATAAATGTTTTATATATATATATATATATATATATATATATATATATATATATATATATATATATATATATATATATATATATATATATATATATATATATATATATATATATATATATATATATATATACACTTCTTGATGAACCTACTGACTGACAAACAATTTGTTGAAGAAAAAAATTTGATGTGCTTTTTTCAAATTTATTGTTGCTGTTTTTTAAGAACATTGAGCACTCTATTTGTAGAATAGACTAACATAATATATATATATATATATATATATATATATATATATATATATATATATATATATATATATATATATATATATATATATATATATATATATATATATATATATATATATATATATATATATATATATATATTATGTTAGTCTATTCTACAAATAGAGTGCTCAATGTTCTTAAAAAACAGCAACAATAAA